CACTCTGTCCTCTGAAGATGCCGGCCACAGAGACTGGTGAAACATTGGGAAGAACAACCTTCAGAACATGGCCAAAGAGCCTGAAAAACCCACAACAACCATTAGATCCCGGCCGTGAAAGCCTTCACGAATACAGTATAGAATATTCATATTATATACTGTACTAATATCTCCATCTCTAGTTCAAACTATTTTACTCCTTCTTTTAACCATCTTATGTGCTGTTTCTTAGCAGAAAGGTAGAATAAAACTTTGTAATAATAATAATAATAAAAGTATAAAATGTGCTGTTTTTATTACTGTGCTGATAGAAGCTGTAATCCATTTCCAGCTGGCATGGCCACTGGCCATACTAGCAGGGATGATGGGAGCTGCAGTCCAAGACATTTGGAGGATGCCAGTTTAGGAAAGGATGATGTACACAGCATTCCAGACTGGACTTCACCGGAGAATTTTATTAAATCATTACAATGCTGGCAGTCCCAACTCACTCTTATTTTCTGTCTGCATCCTCTCATGCGTTTTCTGGATGTTCACCAGGTTGTGTTCACTCCTTGATCGCTCTTCCTGACAACATATTGCACATATTGACAATATAAGCCATCACTGCAATTCCTGCTATTTTCACACAGACTGTGTTCATATCAGCTGTCATATCCAATCCTATTCTCGCCATTTCTCCCCGTCCCCAATCAATCGTAACTACACAGATCCTCTGAGGCAATGCAAAAATATGGTATGATGCAATGCTCTCCATCTCAAGAAACAGCCAGGAAGGGCTTCCCTGCTTCCACTTAGGAACAACCTGAGGAGACTCTGTTCTACCTTGCAGTTCACATTCTATGACTTAAAATATTCCAAAACAGCACTTATGTTACCTGTGTCTGTTTGATAAGCTGATGCAGCTCCCCCAGCAGTTCAGCAATACGGGAATCAGCTGACACAAGAGCCATATTACTGAAAGAAATGGCATGGAGAAACTTAATTAAAAAGTGCATTTATATTATGCTCTGTAGATTGATTATACAGTATTCATTTTGTGAAATTCCAGCTTTACAACATGCAGTAAAGCAGCTTCTTAGGACGCCAGAACTGCACAGAGGTAGAGGTGAGAATATACAGCAATACGGGAATCAGCTGACACAAGAGCCATATTACTGAAAGAAATGGCATGGAGAAACTTAATTAAAAAGTGCATTTATATTATGCTCTGTAGATTGATTATACAGTATTCATTTTGTGAAATTCCAGCTTTACAACATGCAGTAAAGCAGCTTCTTAGGACGCCAGAACTGCACAGAGGTAGAGGTGAGAATATATAACATACGCAGAACTGCACAGAGGTAGAGGTGAGAATACAAATATATTCATGCATATATAACATACGATGGATTATGGAGAAAGCCAGAGAGTTCCAGAAAAACATCTGCTTCTGCTTCACTGATTATGCAAAAGCTTTGATTGTGTGGACCACAGCAAACTATGGCAAATTCTTAAAGAAATGGGAGTGCCAGAGCACCTTATCTATCTCCTGAGAAATCTATATGTGGGACAGGAAGCAACAGTTAGAACTTGATATGGAACAACTGATTGGTTCAAAATTGGGAAAGGAGTACGACAAGACTGTATATTGTCCCCTGCCTACTTAACTTATATGCCAAGGCAGGACTGGATGAATCCCAAGCCAGAATTAAAATTGCCAGAAGAAAAATCAACAACCTCAGATATGCAGATGATACCACTCTGATGGCAGAACATGAGAAGGAATTAAAGAACCTCTTAATGAGGGTGAAAGAGGGTCTGAAGCTCAACATAAAAACAAAAACAAAAAACTAGGATCATGGCCACTGGTCCCATCACTTCCTGGCAAATAAAAGGGAACGATATGGAGGCAGTGACAGATTTTACTTTCTTGGGCTCCATGATCACTGCAGATGGTGACAGCAGCCACAAAATTAAAAGACGCCTGCTTCTGGGGAGGAAAACGATAACAAACCTAGACAGCATCTTAAAAAGCAGAGTCATCACCTTGCCAGCAAAGGTCCACATAGTCAAAGCTATGGTCTTTCCAGTAGTCATGTATGGAAGTGAGAGCTGGATCATAAAGAAGGCCGACCACCAAAGAATTGATGCTTTTGAATTGTGGTGCTGGAGGAGACTCCCGAGAATCCCCTGGACTGCAAGGAGAACAAACCTATCCATTCTGAAGGAAATCAACCCTGAGTGCTCACTGGAAGGACAGATCCTGAAGCTGAAGCTCCGATACTTTCGCCATCTCATGAGAAGACTCCCTGGAAAAGACCCTGATGTTGGAAAGTGTGAGGGCACCATCTCCAGCTAGCATGCGGAAATGCTGGTGTGGATGATGGAAGTTGTAATCTGATGCCTCTAAAGGGCATCATTGGAGTAAGGATGACAATGGTGATAGAAAACAGCCCTTTCTTTGCTGCAGCTACTGCCATGGAATAAGCCTTCAAATGAGCTCTAGCCTGTGTTTGGTCAGATTCACTCTGACATTTCTGCCATTGTCTCTCGTCTCCATCCCACTTGTTTCATCACTGCCAGCTCCCTGGTAAACTACGGGCTTGTCTGCCTCTATTCTGTGAGAGGGGACTCTTAGAAGCAACATGTCCACAGCCCTGGTCATGTCTTCATTCTAGAGGTCAACCATGGCTTCAACAGGATCACCTGGTAAGGCAAAAGGAAACTCCCCAAGAACCATCAGGAAACCAGTTGGATGTACCAATTTCCCAGGCTGAACCAAACTAATCAGTCCCCAGCCCCTGCAGAGATTGTGAGTTTCAGTAAGTCTAAACTTCACCAGGTAAGTGAGTGAACTGTCCATGATACAAGTTCCTCCACACCTAGATCACCATAATCTTGCTCAGCACAGAATACTGGATCCAGAGCGTACCCTGTAGCATGAGTGAGACCAAATACCACTTGGGACAGACCTGTTGTTACAGAAGGCACATAGTATGGAGCTGCTCTTAATAAGGTGGCCTAGCATGGATGCTGAACTTCTCAGTACTGCAAGGCTAGGAAACAACAGCATCACCTCCAAAATTTTCAAAATTCAAAAATTCTGTTAATAGCTGATATCATACTTTATTAAACAAACTACTATCTGGTTAAGTTGCATCATGTATGTGTTTATGTCTAATCTGTAAAAATTTCTGTAATGGGTGTATGTGTTCCATAATTCAGGGGGGTCAAAAATAGGTCATGTGGTTCCCCCCCCCCGAAAAACACAATTTACATGCAGACGTAGGGGATAACTTTATTGGACCACTGAAGAAAACAAGTAGATTGTAAGCTTTCAGTGGTAATATATCCCAAATTTCTCAGGCAGTGTATACAGGTGCATGTGCAAGTTGTTGAATTACAACTCCCAAGAATTCCTCATAATTGCAAGGACTAATAGGAGTTGCAGTCCCCAAGTTGGAAGATGGGCTTCACCTAGTGTGTCAGAAAACATGCATTCAATTATTTATTCCTGAAACCTAACATATATGAGGGTGTCATAGGGTTCTGTGGTTCGGGAGCAGATGCAGGGCTTGCTTGGGAAGGAGATATTTGGCTGAGTATTCGCCTTGCTGAATATCACAAAAACACAGGCTAGTTTGGACCAGATAGGCGGGGTATAAATCAAATAAATAAATAAATAAATAGTTTCTTCAAGACCTTTGCAAATCCAACATCGACTTCAGCGCAGAAAGTCAAAATACAAAGAGATATAAAATATTCCTAGTTTGTATCACAGACAGATTTTTAATGTTTTGAATCAAATGTCTTTAAAGGCTTGGTTACTAGATGGTTCATCTAGCTTCAAATCCACGTCCATAAAGACATTTTCTTCGTGTTTATTTTATTTTTAAAAAAATTTAATAAGGCTTTTGGCCTTCACAAGGCACTGAAGCGAAAACAATGAATTCCGCAAAATCCCCTCACGGCCTCGACCAGCCTTGAGGAAACCGAATTCCCAAGATGCAACGGGAGCAACCGCGGGGGAAACAGACCGTGAGTCGAAGAATACACCGGTGCGCATGCGCAAAACCCTGCCCCTCCAAAAAAAATAATTTTTCCAAAAGGCATCATCCTCACTCCCTACCGTTTCGGGCCCCGATCAGTAGCAGCAGGACAGTGCTCGATGTAGGGACAACGAAAAGCCAAATGAAATGAAATGCAATGAAATAAAATAAAAGAGGAGCTCACGGCTAAAAATGGCGCACAAGAGCGCTCAAAAGACTAACGCGCACGCGCAATTCAGGGCTTAAATTTGGACGCATGCGCAGCTGGCGAGGCAACCGCCGCAGTTCGGAGACTAATAGGTGGCGTTAGAAGTGAAGTTTTTGCCAGGGATTTATTGTGCGCATGCGTTGTCGTGAACGGCTGCTCGTTGTTTTCTTCCGTAATTCTAGAAATAATTTTTAAACTGATGTGTTGTAGTAATCTTTTAGAGGTGCTTATTTATCTTTGCCTCGAAGCCTGTTGGGGCATGTCTAGGCTTTTGTCTCGAGGGCAGACCCAGTCATAGCCGAGAGAGTATTGCTATTTCTGTTGGCGAGTTTTCTTAGGCAAATGTATGTGGAAATCCGGATAGGACAGAAAAGGGTAAAAGGCAATGAGATTCTTTATCTGTTTATTTGGAACGAAATCTCAGAGATTTCAGTTGTGCTTATTTTCAAACAAGTAGGTATAGGTTTGCAGTATTAATCAAATAGAATACACCCAGATAAGCAATTAATAGTAGAATAGTAACATTTCCAGTGAAACTGAAACGCTCCTTATAATTCTCTAAATTTCTTATACCTCCCATCTTTGAAAACTGCATAGGTGGAGGAAACTAATGGCAAAACTGAGAATATTTGCAGAAGATACGTGTGTTTTTTTTGTTTGGTGTGAGTTTTCTTTGTTTTTATAGTACAGTACGTTTTTGTAAAGGGGGGCTAAAGTGGAAGTGCCAGCAACAATTTAAAATGCAGTACACTCCTAACAACAAAAGGAAAGCTGCAAGTTTAAAAGAAGGGAGGGATTAGAAATGTAGACAAGTATACAGTAGTGGGTAGGTGGGGGCTCTAAGGTTTTTCAGCACTGTATCTGAGTTGGATCACAAGCAAATATGTATTTTCTTATGTTTGATGGGCATTGCTCGGTCCCCACTCCAGTAACTTTCTTTAAATTGTTTAAACAGCTGTGTTACATCTGTTGCAGCAATAACAAGAAAGAGTCCAGTGGCACATTTAAGAGTAACTAGTTTCATTGGTCATAGCCTTTTTTGAAATGCAGTCTGTTAAAGCTTTTGTCAAATAAAACTTGTTAATTTTCAAGCTACCGCACGGCTCTTTGTTGGCTTATCAGGCGACAAGCAAAATAAAAATAAAGAAGACTAACCGCTGTATTTTAATGGGAGCTTTCGTGGACGAGTCCACTTCCTTAATTTTGTCTTTAAAACAATTCTTTAAAGTTATTTGAGGCGAAATAAGCCCTAAACAGGAAGCCATATTAACAACTGCATGTAGAAAGACAGGAACTGATCCAATTCTTTGTAAATTGACTCGACTGTGCTAGGAAGGCTTCCACGGGCTGACTGTCTTTGGTCATCCACAGCTTCCCCCTTCAGTCCTTCTGGTGTTGGTTAATCATTGTTTGTCCTCTTCCAGAACAGTTGTTAAGGAACACACTGAACCAGAACTCTTGATCCCAGATAAGATTGTGCAGCAAGTCAGACTGAACTGGGACCGGTACCAAAACCAGATGGCTGCGTTACAAATGTTTATAGTGGCACCCAAGTTTGTTGCAAAAAAGCCATTACCAATAATTCTTTGAAGCAGGGATAGGCAAAGTGCAGCCCTAGTGCTGCATGTAAGACTCCAAGGCTGTTATTGGGCTCCCACAGCCCCTCTTTTTCTAGTGCCCCCCCAAAAAAACTTTTTTTAAGAGATCCTAGGAGCCCTCAAGACAACACTCAGCAACGTGGGTTTTTCAAAAGTAGAAATGGCTTCGAAGCTACTTTAGTTTCTTAGGTTTGTGAGTCTTAAAAGACTTCACCTTACAGAGGAGGCTTGATCTAATATTTATCCTTCCTAGAAAAGGTCCATGGGAGGGCTTTTTGCTGATTTTGTTTACTATTTGTTTATTTTTACTTTTGTTATAATAATATTTGTTAGCCACTTTGGATGCTATATTTGGTGGAAAGGGCAGAATATAAGTGTAATAAAAACAACAAAAACTTAAGCTGAAATGATTTTAGTGGCTTTAAGTAGAATTTTATTAGTATTTAGGGTTAAATACTAGGTGAATAATATTTGATCAGATTGTTCTATCCTGTGCTGTATCTGAAGATATCAGAGCAGGTTACAGTTAATTAAAACAGCTTTAAAGCAATTTTAAGATTTGTCAACACAATTTAAAATAAGCAGAGGTCAAAGGAACAGCAAGCAAACAAAGCAGAAGATAACACCTACAAGTCAACAGTCCAGATATAACCAAGTTTGGCTCTTCACTGTTTTACAGCAGTTCCCATAACTCCTCAGCATTGTCTATGCTGGCTAGGATTGATAAGAGTTGTAATTCATTTGACCACACCTATTCCTGCAACTGGTCCCATCAGCTCCTGGCAAATAAAAGGGGAAGATATGGAGGCAGGGACAGATTTTACTTTCTTGGGCTCCATGATCACTGCAGATGGTGACAGCAGCCATGAAATTAAAAGACACCTGCTTCTTGGGAGGAAAGCGATGAGAAACCTAGACAGCATCTTAAAAAGCAGAGACATCACCTTTCCAACAAAGGTCCGCATAGTCAAAGCTATGGTGTTTCCAGTAGTGATGTATGGAAGTTGGACCACAAAGAAGGCTGACCACTGAAGAATTTATGCTTTTGAATTATGGTGCTGGAGGAGACTCTTGAGAGTCCCCTGGACTGCAAAGAGATCAAACCTATCAATTCTGAAGGAAATCAACCCTGAGTGCTCACTGGAAGGACAGATCCTGAAGCTGAAGCTCCAATACTTTGGCCATCTCATGAGAAGAGAAGACTCCCTGGAAAAGACCCTGATGTTGGGAGAGTGTGAAAGCAAGAAGAGAAGGGGACGGCAGAGGATGAGATGGTTGGACAGTGTCACCGAAGCTACCAACATGAATTTGACCCAACTCCGGGAGGCAGTGGAAGACAGGAGGGCCTGGCCTGCTCTGGTCCATGGGGTCATGAAGAATCGGACATGACTAAACAACAACAAATTCCTGCAACAGGCTATAACCAAGCCATGATCACCCACTCGCCCACCTACAAACCTGGGAAGGCTTTTTTCCCCTTTTAATGTATACTTTTGTTCTTAGCTTTAATATTGCCAAGCAGGCCCTCCCTTATTTAAAAAATATGTGTCTGAATATTGTTGGTTTAACAACGCTACTGTAGCATCAGTTTCCATAGATTAGAGTTCTCTCCCACAAGCTATTACATGCAACTGATAAGTAAATATATCTTTGAATAAAGGGAGGAAATGGGGGATGGAATTAAGGGAACTCAGTTTTCTTCTGATATTTAAAACCCATTTTAGGCTAAGAATATCTTCAGATGCATTCTATTCTTTGCTTCTAAGCTTGTCTTAAACTTTAAGACTTAAAGCACCTACCTCTACTTTGTGGATCTTGAGGCTGCATATCAGCCAAGGCTGAAACCTGCCCACCCCTGGAATACCGCCAGTTCCATCTGATTATGTGGGCCCTAATCCGCAAAGGTTTAGAGTATAAGAAATTTATGAGTCTTGAAAGTGTCACAAGACTCTTTGATGACTGTGATATTTTAATTAAAAGTTGCACTGGGAAAGAAAAGTGAGCTGTTGTGAGTTCTAAGGAATCACAAAGCCCATGTTGCAATATTTGCAGAGTGCTAAGTAAAGTATTCTTTAAAGGTCAGGCTTGTTCAAGGCTCAGATGCTATGCACTGCTGGAGGTTGAGGACTTGCCCCAATGTAAAGTAGATTTGTGGCCTGCGGAATTCCCTGTCCAAACGCCATATGCTCCTTTGGGAGATTTGGTTGTGACACACTACACCACACAAAGTGAAATTGGCTTTCATCCAGCCATAGGTAATGCTAATACTAAGAGATGTTATTACAGGACATGAATGACTACAAGATTCTTGCATAAATGAACAGTGATAGCTAGTTGCTGCTGAATAACACAAATATATTGTAGAAACAGCTAAAGCAGCAAATCTCAGAATTTAATAGGTGAACCTCTACTAATTGACAGCAGAATCTCCAGCATCTTATTCAGAACATGTAAGTCCCATTAACTTGAATAGAACTTATTTCCAGGTAAGCATGTGTAGGATTATTAGACACTGTATTTTACAACAGACTACAAGAAGTAGACATGAGCAGTGCCAGTTGTATGCTGCTGCTTTTGGATGGCTCCTGCTTTCTGATTAGTACTCTCTCTAGCTACCTGTCTGGTACTCCATACTCCCCTTGGAAACTCATAATTAAATGCACAGTACAAAATGCACATTGTCTCCTATCATGATTCTGTTGTCGTGAGAAAATGGACTCCATAAAATCCTCCAGAGCAGGGATCCCCAACCCCCAGTCCATGGCCAGTGATGGTCTGTGGCCATGGCACAGATCTCCCGCCCCCCCCACACTCTCCCCACCTACCCCACCTGCATGCATGGGTGCCCCGCCCACCTGTGAGCACATCCTTCCCCTCTGTGAGAGTGCCCTGCCCTTCATGCATCTGTGTGAGTGCGCTCCGCCCACCCATGATACTCTCTACCCCTTCGTGCATGCATGCGATTGCTTTCCACCCATTCGTGCATGTGTGTGAGCGTGCCCCACCCCTCCGCGAGTGCCTTCCGTGCATGCGTGCAAGTGCACCCCCACCCGCAAGCATGGGGGTGCCCAGCCCCCCCGTGAATGGACCCCACCCACCCTTAACTGATCTGCAACTCAGAAAAAGTTGGGAACCACTGCTCCAGAGAACAGGTGACTGGATTTAATATTGTCTGGTACTTAGGACCTGGTTAGGGATGTGAATGTCACTGAGCCGCTAGGGAATAGTGGCCATGCTATGATCTCTTTGAGAGTGGGACTTGTAGTCAATGGGAATGAAAAAAAATGGAGTCAGGTTTTAAAAGTGAAAGGAGTTGAAGACATGGGAATGTGAAAAAGGCAGAGAGGCTGTTTTTCTTAATTTACAGCCAGGCTGGTACAGAGTGAAAGCTGATCAGAATGCAGGGACAGGCTCCAGT